GCTATGGTGTGAGCTGTAACTCTTACGAGAAAAGGAACTGCTATGCCTTGTAAGCCCCCTAAACACTTACTAGGCATATCTAATTATGGTATTTTCTCTTTGAATTCTTGTCTATACCAGTTAGGGAAAATATGAAAATGCATTTTATTAAAAACAAAACAAAAAACCTGCAAGAAATATAATTCCATATGTTATCATGAAAAATCAAATATAGATATGTGCTGTCCCTTGGATTCCTAGTCATGTAATGACCACTAGCCACTAGGCAAAGAAATCAAAACACAATAAGCAGAAAGGTTTGAAGAAGGTTCATACAATCCATGGTACATCCGGCTCAGATGGGATAGATGGGATTTTGACTCACCATGCTCAAGAAAACCCTGCATAAATATACTAAAATAAAAACAAAATTTTGAGCCTGTATAAAGTGGAAATATCAAGTTAAAATGAAAGTAAAACCAGCACATGTATGTGTCAGCAGGTGCATAACATGTATAGTATAGTGGAGATAGCTCCTCCCCTCAACAGCATCTCCTTTGCAGTTGCCCTAAGAGCATGAAGTTAATTTTGAGCAATGGTAAAGACATTCCGGTGCAAACAATTGGCATGTCTTTGTATTAATCCAAACCTGAATTGCAGCAGCAATAGTATTTTGCTGACAAGTAAGCTGAGTCAAAGGAAACAAGCATAAAAAATAGAGAAAGGTTCCACTGAATAGCAAGCATCATCAGCATTATTAGGTATTTGTACATGGTACCAAAAGGGGTAAAGACCAGCAAACACATCAGTGGAAGGGATTACTCTAGATGCCTCTAGTAATGCTGGAAGACCTCTGCCTTATGTACTTTGATTCTGAAATAATCTCGTACACAGTGAATGCAACCAGTGATGCGGGCAAACCGACTAACAATTGTTTTTGCAGGCTTTGAAATCTTATATTATCCTCTTATTTCTGTCATGCAGTGCCACATTTCATGCTTTTTACAAATGAACGGGATACTATGAAGTCTAACACAATCTGTTTGCAGTTGATATTAATGCATAACTTTCTTTGCTTCTGTCTTGCTCCTGATAAACTTGCAGGTACATATAGAGGACCTTGACAAAAGTCTGTGCACTACAATTAGAATTCTAGTGGTGTCTTAGGGAAATGGAATTTTTGTGTCTTTTAAATACAATTTTAATTCAACACAATAAGTAAACGAAACAAAGTTTGTGCCCTTTGACAGCCTGCTTCCAAGCCACCCAAATATGAATGAAACTATAATATAGTAACAACCAGTGATCACAGTATGACCAGCATGATGTTTATATACGTGACTGGGTCTGGTATCAGGCAAAATCAAAGGAGAGGTTGCAAATTTCAAGTATTTCTAGCAAAGTGCAGAATTCTTTTGCTGGCAGAGGTCCTTAATCCAGCATTGAAAGGTTTATTTGCAGCTTTATAAACTGATATAGCAACTTAAATTAAAATCACAATATCATGTATTCTTATTAGACTCTCTGCTTCACAACTCCCAGGCTAAGCAAATTACTTTTACCTGGATTCTTCAGACAGTTGAGAGATTACATTGCAAAGAAACTCACAACCTGGAAAAACAAAGTTCAATTCACCGTTTTGAAAAATTTCCAAATGGTAGGTGCTGTCCTACTGGCATGAAGGAAAATCTTCCTCCCCTTACCAAGAATCTGTAATGAACTTTGTTTTAATCTTATACTCTATTATCTTCCTAGTTCAGAAGACAAGACCCTTATTTTATCATTACAATACCAAAGACACATGAAACCCATTATGGAGAAAAACTTTCACATTGTGAATCTCTCTCCATAAGAAAGGTATCATCAATTCTCTTTTCTGAAAAAATGGTAAAGACGACAAATCCTCCTGGTAATTGCAAGTTTCCTTAAAATTCAGTGGTAAAAGAGGTAGACAAAAGACTTCTCTGAAGGCAAATATTTTAAAATTTTTAAATAAAAGATCATCTTTCATGAACAAATCCATAATACTCTGCAGCTGACAGGGACAACTGTTAGCAAAGGAGGCTTGGGAATCCCATGCATCTGACTGTAGGCTGGACTGAAAACTGAAGACAGAACTCGGGTTGGTGCAGTGGTTGCAGCAAACTGCTGCTGAGGACCCATCTCCATGTGCAGCAATGTCACAGAAGACTAGTTAACTGAATTACTCAGAGTAAATTTCGTAGCCTAGCTGGTAAGGAGCAAGGAGAATATTCCAGTTTCCAGAGACTACATTTACCTGGCAAATAAGTTATTACAGAGAAAGTGACAATGATAATGTAAAATAGCAAAGAAGGAAAGGGTACTCTTTTTATGAACACAACATCCACAGACACACACACAAGTGCTTCTTAAAGAGGAAAAATTTAATTAAACATTAGCTTGTTTAAGACAGTATGAGGGCTGTCTTTGTTTGATGGATGTCAGACTTGGTGGTTTGGTGAGGCAAAAATTACATGACTGGATTGTTGTAGAGCTACAAGGTGAATGAAAGAAACAAGATGTATACTTGCTTGCTTGCAAGCATTCTGGCTAGTATCTTCATGAGTTCACAACTTTCAAAAGATTCAGCTTTCTTTCAGGTGTTTAAGACAAAATTTTTGTTTCCTGTTATTTCACTTTTCTGTGAGCTACAATAAAAATCTGTGGGGTCCTCATTTTCATTTACCCATGGATCCTTCCATACTACTTGGACTCCATCATAACTGAGAATAAAGTCTCTAACATTAATTTTGTTTAATATAAAACAAATTCAGTTTTAATGTTCCAAGGCCCCAAGATTCCAAGTGGTAACTGATAGTCTCAAAGGAAACAAATCTCTAGAAACAGATGCATCTAATAAGCAGCCTATTGCTAGGTTTCCTCCTCTGAGACGTACTGCATTACAAGCACTAGAGAATCATACAGCCCAGGGGAACAAGGTCATAGCATCTACATTAGTACATTTTTTAATTATTAACAATAATTTTATAATTTCATACCATTTCATGATCATTTTGTCAAAGACGATAAGCTAATTATTCATCAGGTATTTAGAATATGTAAGGAGGCACGTGTACCTTGCCAATATTTTGTCAGATATAGGCTGTTGAAGAACTGCCAAATTATACAGGCATGTCTTCAATAACACCAGTGTTTCCAGTTCTCTCATTACTACATCAGATCTTCTCTTGCATTTGGGCTTATCTTAGATGTTCCATTATTTATCTTCCTTAGCGACATTTTCAACTGATTTACCTGACTATGGAGGAATTTTTATATGTTAACTCATTTATGAATTCTATTTCTGCATCACACTTTAAGAAATGGGCTGGAAATTATGAGCTCTGTAGCTGTAAGTAGAAAGCTTCAAAAATAAAACAATTTCAAAATCCATAAATAGCAAATAAATAATGTAGTATTTGTGGAGAAATAATTAAATTAGTTTTCCTGAAGATCACATGCATTGATCTAATCACTGAGGAAAAAATGTCTGTGGGTTTCAATTCTTTTTTCAAGTTGAAGAGGAAAGTAACAATAGCTTTATATGTACAATTCAAATGTAAGTAGAAAAAAAGTTATAACATAGCCTACATTTGTGTCTCTGAAATACCACAGGTTTGGCTAAAGTGAAAAATTTATCAAATCACTTAGACAGGAAACTAACATTGAGCAGCTTCTTTAGTAGATCCAAAACACAGAACCACCAGATAACTCTCGCCATCTCCAGCATTTCCTGGCCACTCTCACTCATTTGCCTTTATTCTTCAATCCGTCTTTAAATCCCATTTGGTATCTATGCTCATTTTTACAGATACGTCCCTTTTAATACTACTAACAGGGAATTTATCTTTTTTTCCACAGCACTTTTCAACTTTGATTTTGTTATTCAAGACAGAATAGTTTTTCAGTCGAGGAACACATAACTGGAAGGGATCTACAGGATCCGCCCTGCAAGTAATGTCAGCGAGACCTTGTTCATTCCTTTAAATACCAATCAAGTTCCATCTTACTCACCACTATTTCAACTGGAAGACTGTGGCTGAACTTCACACCATCATAGATTTCCTTTATGCTTCTCAGCCTAAAATTTATTCATAGTCAAGTGTATCCATTCATTATGTCCACCCTGTCCTTGGTCTATTCATAAATAGAATTAAATATCCTTTTGATTTTTGCTTTGTTAAGGTAAATCAGCCATGCTTTTTAAATCTTTACTCATGTGGCATTTTCTCAGTGTCTGAATAGTAAACTTTTTCTGCACCTCCAATATTCTGGATTGGATTGCACTAGAACCTGTAAAATGCTATCAATATTCTTTCTATTTGGAAATAATCTCTTGATATCTGGTACATTTTTAATATATATATACACACACAACCTCCAAATCTACAAATTTGTTTGTAAAACTGCTCTGTAAATTATCACTTTTCTTAATAGAGAGCAGTCTAGCGACAGATTTCAAAACACTAAGAATTACCAACAATTTTAGGTCATGCATAAAAATTCATCCTTGTGAATATTTTTTTGAAACCTACTATTTTGGGGGTAAATTGTTAGATTTTCTTTTTTAGAGTACTCTAGATTGACAGGTTCTATAAATGGGATAACCTGAAGCACTTTACTTTAAAGTAACTACACTCAATGCCAAAACGATAAATGGACATCTATAATACTCTTTTTTTTTTCTTCTTCATGATAGAAATACAGAAGGTAAAATAACAGTGCTAGACAGTAAATGTAAGAAACTGAGCCATGGAAGTCATCACCACTGCCCACAGAACTGAGCAACACCGTGCCACTAACAAGTTATTGTACTACATGACGAGTGCTTAAAAATTCAATGAAACTGAGTACTTTTTATTTTGTGGATTTTGTGGTTTGGGTTGGGTTGGGTTGGAGTATTTTTTCAATCAAACGCAATGTCCAGAAACATTATCAATACTAAAGAATCTGTTCATAGCATTGCTTTACAAAAGTTCCTAACAGACAGTGACTATTTCTTTGTTGGATGTATCTTTTATTTTATTAATGATGAAAAGTAACCGATGGAATGCTAAAAATAAACTTGTAAAGAAATCTAGTCTGAAATCTGAATCTGTAGTTTGAAGCAAGTTCAGTGGTCACGGTAACACCAGTTGAAGATTGACTCTTGCCCATTGTGAAACAGGCATGGCTCTTCTAAAAAGGTCACAAATTTTTCAAATATAGGCACCATGTTTTAAATTTTGCACATACAAAATATGTTCATGTCACTCAAATTACACAATGTGGCAGTGTTTTAAGTCTGAACATTACTGTCAATTAATGGCAGAGAAAAGAGCCAAAGCTCACATAAGACTAATGACTGGGACAAATCCTGAAAAGAGACAGAAAGTATAAAACAACAGCTTTCCTGTTGTATGTGGGTTTGTGTGTGCATGTGTGAGCGCGCAAATAACAAAAAATGTTTCAGAGTAAGTTCAGATAATAGCCCATCCATTCGTTCTCAGCTTCTTATCCAGTTTCATTGCTAAAGGCTTTGATTTTAACTGCATGTTAAAATGCAAATTCAAATCCCATATAAACCATTAGTTAATGTGTTGACTGGTTTGAGCCAATCAAAATTGAGAATTACTGCTGAATGTCTTCCTTTTAATCTACTTGTCAGCCTCTGGGTATGTAGGATACTTGATTGTCTCAATTTTCTCCTTAACTTTATAGGATGGGTAGAGGCCTGTTCTTCCTAATTTCCTATTGATGCCTTTTGAATAACCATCCCAGTGGTTTCCAGCTACTCCAATTATATCTCCAGGTTCCATAGGAATTTCATCAGCAGTTCGTGGATGATGAGCATAAATAGCAATCTGGTTGTGGGCATTCTGTCCTCCAAAGTAGTAGATATCATCCAAAGAATGGAAATATGCTGAAGCATCTGGATGCAATGTCTGCATAATTTCATAGGCAACTCGACAAACCTTAGAAATAAAAACAGAAAAGAAGTGAAAAATACTGTATGTGCCTGCAATACACCACAGAAGTCAGCACCTAATGTGTAACAACTGAGTTTAACAAAAGGATCAAGTTTTGTTAACAGGTCAAAAAACCAAGATATATTTACTAATAAGAAGCATACAATTTTGCGGTACTTTAATTAGTACTCTGGTGATCAGATCTGGTAAATAAATAAATGAATAAAGTCTACTTTTCAGCAAAAACTGAAAACATCTATATGAACACTAACCATCCTCCTTTTTAAAATGAATGCTATGTAGCCAATCAAAAGTAAAAGCAAATTAGTTTTCCTTTACTACTAATAAAACCTGTACTTTATTCCTGTTTGAACCTTTAGAACTTATATTTTCAGAAATTATTCTGTAATAATGAGGCTTTAAATTTACTTTTCTAAAGCCTAATACAAGGTTTTAAAATGCTCTTAATATTAGAACAGTGATAGAATTATGACTGTTGGCAACTGGGAAGACAACTAAATGAAAATAATGATGGTGGTGGGGAGAAAAATGCATTTTGAAGTGTCATTGGATCACATTTTATGAAGGGAATTCTCTTCAGACTGAAAACAGGTCCCCACATCAGCATCATGTTGTAACTTTCAGAGCTGCCAGAAACACAAAAGGCTGCCACTGTATTAAACAAAGCTCTTCTGTCAGGTGTATGATTTGGCCACTGTGACCTTTCTGACTTCTAATCTACATTACTGGATCTTTCTCTGATTTTGCATAAGCTTGATAAACTAACAATACAGCAGACTTCTTCAATATGAATAAGCATTTGAGCTTTTTCATAATATTCTCCCTCTGAAGATACAGTAAATAGAACTTTGATCATTCAAAACAGACATATTTGTACTTTCCTACCTTCTTTGAGAGAGGCATTTTCTTTAAAAATGTAATAGGTTTCCTTTTATCCCTCTCCATCTTATCTTTGAAATAACTTTTCAGAAGCAGCTTGCAGAAGATCAGGCTGAAGTTAATTATTTTGACGTACTTGTTATACCCCATAATATAGAAACAAATTTTATTACTCATACATTGGTAAAAGACTGTTTATTTTCTAGCTTCTGTGACTGTTTTTGATGTTTTATACTCCATGTGTGTGCAGGTAGAGGATACACACACATACTCCGTAAAAGTAAATATTTTCAGTGGAAATGCTTTTTAGTGAGTGTAATTGTTCTGTGTACCTGACATAAAAGATACAACACATCCTCTCAGTAATTGTTCCCTTTGTAGCATCAAACCAGGGTGACTAAACCATAAGCTGCTGAGGGCAGTAGGCAAAGAATCCATATGCAGAATTATAGTTAAAGGCAGCCTCCCATTTTTTTATTCACAGATTCACTTATTTTGCAGTCTGTTTACTTACATGTACAATGTAAATTACAAAGACTCATAAATCCTGTAAAGAAATGAGATTATGAAGAAAAATATGTCAGGCAGAGGGAGCTACAATTTCATCTAAATGAAGACTGAAGAGAGAAAAAAGCTCTTCGTTTTGATGTGCAACAATAATTCTCCTACTGTGTTATGATTTGTGTAACTACCATGTGGCTTGGCTTTCCTATACATCTCAATCAATGCGATGTTGCTGAAATACAGTACCAAGGTAGGTTGTTTCCCTTGACTCCACATCACTTGATGGGCCTAATTTCTTTAACAACAGTATTTTAACGAAGCAGCTATTCTTCAGCTTACATGAATGTTCACTTAGTTTTGGTAGCAAAAATAAGAATTAATACAAGAGACTTCCTAAAGCACCTCATTCTATCCACATAGACTGTAATTTTCTCTTAATACCTCTGTAATGAGCTTTTGACTCTTTTCGGCAAGGAAAAGAAAACAGACAAAATCAGAATACAATTGATTAATCTGAAAGCCCAAAATCATACTGAAAGTAAATTAGACTACATTCTTATCTTTAATTTCTCTCCACACAAACTGCACAAACGCTGGACATAAACAGACTATTTTTGTTTACCTTCAATGCCAAAGTAACTACCAAACTGTTTGTTTAACTGAAGAAAGGATAGGTATAGTAGCTCAAATGCTAGAGATCACAACCCATAAAAAAGAAATCTTTCTGCAAAGTGGGAAAATTTGCAGCTGACCTTAGAAAAGCCCAATATATGAAAATACTGTAGAGATCCGCATTGTTGCATGACAAGCAAAACTGGTGCTGAATTATTTTTCAGGAATTTGAATTATTAAAGCACAATAAATTTCCCAGAAGAAATTACGTAGATGTTTGGACCAAATTCATAGTCCCACCCATTGAGAGCACCAGTCTAAGCAGGATTTCTTAGACTTCAATGGAGTTTTCTGCAGCTCTTGAAAACCAAATATGTCATCCAGCAAACATGTCTATTGTCAAATGCAGGGAGGTGCAGAATAAGACTGGAGCTCAAAGATACCTCAAAGAGGGTTGTACCAGATGACCTCCAGATGTCCCTATCAGCCTGTATTACCTTAACTATGTCAATGTATTTTAATATATTTTTGTCTTCTGAAATTACTCCAACGCTTACAACTGAATTACAATATATTCTCCCCAAGCCATTTGTACCTATATTTAAACATGTTCCTTCTATGTTCATACTCAATGTTTTATTTAAAGCAAACATTTGCCACTTTCAACACAGCTATCTGAATACAAAAATAGCAGAAAATGTCATAGACTTCTTATTAAGTTCTTATCCAAGACCAAATAAATCTTCCTTCAGAATATGAACTGTCTCTACAACAATGCATGGGTGGTGTTTAAGACAAACAGCCCTAGGTCTTGGCTGATGATCACCTCTTTCACTGTGATATGCATTTAGTGACATACTTAGCTGAATCTAACATTATTATAAAAGCGGATGGTTCCTCACAAGCTTTTCTTAGTGAGGATTTTTACTTTGGAGTTTATTCATGTCTTAGTCTGAAGTAGCCCGTATTAATAACCTTCTAAATATGCTATAAAATGGCATTTTCTTCACAGGGTCTGGCAAACAATGAAAAAAAAAAATCTATCCACAACCATGATTGAGGAATAAAAGACTTTGCTATACTTTTTATGGTTTTGCCATCTTTTTGCCATAGTAATGTTATTACGAATTCTGGCTGTCAAGGTCAATATATCACTGTATTGATAATATATTTGTATTAATATTACGCTTGTTACCTATCTAATTGTCATTACAGTGCAGAAGACAATTTACATTTGAGGCTGTGAGAAACATTTCTTTTTGAAGTGAATTTTAACTTTCAGTCTTGTATCCACTTCCATGTAAAAGTGCAATCATGTGTGATCATAATCTATCGCCATTTATAGTTGAATGCTTTCCTAACCAGGAGCGTCACCTAAGAGCATATGTGACAACAGTATGTAAAAAACATTCAATTTGTGTGATTTAAATCGTATTTTCCTATAACTGAATTAGGTGGATGAGCATGTCAGTCACAATATACTGCTTTCTGATTTTTTTTAAGTCTTAAAACAGCTTTTAGAAACAGCTTTTCACGTCATATGAAATTAATATACAATATCATTTAATAAAGAAGAAAATGGCAATTATTACAATTATGATTCAGTTTTCTAACTGACTCCAACTTGCTTCATCAGACCACTCAAGAAAGGAAGCTCGTAGCATATAATTATCTGCAACAAAAAGTCTTTACAGATTACAGTGGTCAGAATGCACATTTATTGTGCTGCCACTGGATTGCTAGAAAAACTGAAGAGAAATTATAAGAGAAATAAACTGAAGAGAAATTAAATGTCTGGTTCATTCTCTTCTATTCCCACAAACAACTAAGGCAATAGCAGACATGTCTGAACTACAGTAGAGAGCAACGATGTGTAGAAATGGACAGACACAAGTTAATATATTAACTTTATGCAAAATGAAGTGTTAAAAATATTTAAAATTATTTTTAGTTATTTTAAATGTCTTAACTGAGCTGCACAGAAATTATACATAACCTTTATGGAAAACAAGGAAGTCTTAAACATGTTAAATGTTATTTCTTACTTATTTCAAATGTTTAATTAAGACAGTAACCTCAATTGAAGTAATCAACCAGTGCTTACAGGCCTCCAAATGTTCACATAGCATACCAAGCCTTTAATTCTTCCATAAATTTTTTATGAGAGAGCACTGAGAATAAGATATGAGGAGCATAGAGAAAACTAAGATTTAGAACTGGTACACATACTCTATATTGTATTCGTATTGCAGTTTACCTGGGATGAAAATGTACAGACCAAGAAGTCTGCTTGAGACAAAAAGTGAATATCCAGAATGACACCTCTTAGGGAGTTCTCAGTGTATCGGTTATGAAGTCCTGCTGACCAGGATATGGAATTATCACTGATAAATTCATAATTTGGATACCTGTGAAAACACAATACACTGTTAACAGCAAAGTCTTTTTTTTTTTCCCCAAGAAACATCATCTTTGCTGCAAGATAAGGTTGTTAATTTGTTTTAAGTGAGTCTCTACTTTACAGGGAATGAATTACAGGAATCAATTACATTGAATACACCCTAGAATGTAACTGCTGCCTCTAAGCATGCCCTCTCTTTATCCAGAAAAAATGAAAATCACATAAAAAGATACTGTAACTCTGAGATCTGACACTTTAAAAGAAGTGAAAAAGTATCAGGAAGTATATTCCACATGCTGCTAATGCTACTGATTGTAGAAGAAATATACTCAGATCACCTCACTTTCTCTTTTTATTTAAAACATAAAACCTTGGTTCTTATTATTTTAAAATTACAATTAAAATTCAACATGTAACAATGACTTTTAAAGAAAAAAAATTCCTTTTTAAAAATATTTTAAAAGAACGGCCTTTATCAAAACATTTCTACTCTTTTACTGGGGAACTGAAATTTGAAATAAACTGCAAAAAGTAGTAAGATTTAATTGAGTTTTCAGTCAGCCACCTACCAAAAAATACATTTTATATTAAAAACTCCAGGTTGACGTAACAAAGATGATAATTACATTGCTGCTACACAATAATTATATTTCAATCAGGAAGTGCAACTCATGAGACTAACCTGCAATTACAGAAATTTCAACCACAGGGCTAATTATAAAATAATTTAAATAAAACCTATTTTTCAAATTTACAACTTCCTAGCAATTATAAAACATTATATTACATAAGATAGTAAGGCAGCTAATATCACATTTGCAAGAATTAATCATTCTTATACTGCTTAATAAAGAAAATCAAAACACAGAGCAGGCCATAATACTGGAGCAACAATAATTTAAACCTGTAACTAAATACTTCAAAGCCTGACAGTCCTGTGCTGCACACTGCTCAAAATAAGCGTTTCACTCACGAGTTCTTGGAAAGTTACTGAAGTTAGCACGCACTTGTGTACAACAACGCAGCATGCGCATCCACACTGGACACATGGGAGACACGATTATGAAAACCTCCTGTAAGGATATGCCTGATCTATTCCGTTTTAATGTTAAAACTATGGGAAAACTGTTTTCAGAAGTAAAATGGGCAAATATAGCAGACTTTTCCATCTAACATTCACTAGCCGTGACTAGAAAATCCGTAAATTTCTCAAGAGCAAATCAAGAAGTCATATGCAAAACTTCCACACTCGAGGAATAATTTTAATTTATCTTCATAGTGATTTTAATAGAATTCTATGTTTCCAAGAGAAAAACCTGCTCAAAAATAATATATATATGTATGGTAAGTTTCCCAGAGATAGCATTACACCTTTAAAGGGTGCATCTGATCATGAACATCTAGGGAAGTTCCTGTCGCATTAAAAACATGACAAAACAAAATAAACAAAAGGAAGAGAAATATTCATTTGAAATGACTGATCTCTTCCAAGAAATAATAGAAGGATATGGATCAAGAAACAGTTTTTTCAAGACGAACACAACAATAATTTTCTTTTCTGTCTTTTGTCTAACATTTTCTGTCAATATTTAACAAGCTATTAAAATACAACAGGTGACAACATAATATTTGTGATATATTCTATTTCCATTGTGCAAACAATATTAGTATTTTTTTAAAGAAAAAAGTACAGAGCAAATGGAAATACGTCATACTCTACTATGAAAACTAACTGAGGAACAGAGATGGGCATCAGTCCTATTTCAGTGACACAACTCTGAGGGGGGCAACATGAAGAACATTTAACAGAAGATGTCATTTCGAGGGACAGTGAGCATAATAAATATATTTGTATACCCCTTTGCAAATTATTGGCACCAGGTATACTGCTAAAATTAATCACTTCTTCAGACTGCAAAAATCAGAATCCACATGCTGAGCAGAGATAAAAGAACCTTTCTTGAAGAATGTGATCTCTTACTAGCAAAAGATCAGTCTAATAACTTAAACAAAAGAAGCATGGCAAAAAAGGTGTTATATCGGATCTGGTAAAGAAAAAACTATCAGAATTATTTACACATCCTCTTATGCATACATTTAAAATTTTCCCCTTCCTCCCTTTATTTTTGGAAACAGTCTTTGACATACCAAATGACCAAATCTTGTCTTCAATTCCATTTTCCATTTCAGAACCCATTTCTTTAAGCCAGTGATCCCAGCTTAGCACTTATCTACTCACACATTTAAGTCTTCAAACAGGAACTTCTATGTTGTCCCTCACACACAATGCTATAGTTATATGTGGGGAAAAAAGGTTACCTTTAAACATCCTAAAATGTGAGTGTAATAGCAGCCATACTCACTGTGACCAAAGAAGTCCACCATCCTGCCTCCAAACAAACAACAGTAAAAGGCCAAGCCTATACCTTTCTCAAGTTTAGCCATATGTGGCCCCTGCTTTCCTGCATCAAGTGAGGTTTAATTCTCCTTCCCACTCACTACAGTGAATTAGTTTCTTACCACAATGACTACAAAGAATAAAAGAAATGAAACTTCTAAGGATCTGTAGTTCGCTCTTGCTTCCTTCTATTCCCTTTTCCATCTCTATTTATATTAGAATTAATGTAATACATTGTAAGCTTTTGGGAAATTTCTTTTTCTTTTTAAGCAGAACTCAGGCATGATCCTATTACTAGGATTCCTGAATCCAGTGGTAAATGAATAAAAAATAATAAGATGTCACATTTTTACTGACAGTATCACCCAAACACATTATTTCGTAGGATCCCTCCTAGCTTTCCAAAGAAATCACCCACACATTCTCTTCTCTGTAAGAGGAAAGGTGGTGTAACTGTGAAGATAAAACCAAAGAATGGAAACTGGCATAAAACTGTTTTCCTTATATGAGACTAATTGTATGTAATATATCTCTTCCACATATCTAAAAATAATATCTAGTTCTTGTAAAGCTACCTAATGGATTCTTGAAACCTATATACAGGTCAGGAAGGGATTTCTTATATTTTCCCCCCTCAAGGAAAAGGGGTAAAGAAGAAATCAGAAGAAGGTAGGGAAAAGAGATTTTTAAATCTTCCCTTCATGCCTCAGAAGATACAAACCAAGCACAGTTATGAGACTATTTCAAGGTCCAATTGTTTTCAGAAGCTGATCAACATGCTGTCTAACTACAGCTTACCACTATGCTGTGCAGCAGGTACACACCAGGGCAAGTCCCAGGCTCCTGTACTCAATTTGCTAGGACTGGGAAAGTGTCCAGAACATGCAAGGGAAGTTTTCTTCCCTCTGAAAAAAGAGAGTCTTGCTCTAAAAAAATTAAGAAATGTACAAGCCATTCATCAGACTCAAGAACTTTGAAGCATTAATGAATTCTACATATTAGGCATACTATGTCTTGGGGGTGGGGAGGGTTGCAACAGCTAAACTGCAGACAGTACACAGGGAGGAAAGACATTAACTTGCTATTGTGGAAGTAAATAAGCAGCGAAATAGGGTGGGAAAAGGCTTTCATAAGTGCTGGGGAAAAAAATGAGGGAGAAAAATTATGGCAAAAAATGAATAAGCAAAATACAGGTTACTTTACAGGTAAATATCCAAAAAGAAAAAATGCAATTTGTTGAATTTTAGTGCTCATATACATGAGAAAGAGACCTGAATAGCTTCATATAAAAACCAGAAAGGTATTAAATATGGTTTCTTAAGAATTTATGTGCATGTTCAGCTGCATTATTTTGAATATTCTACCTTAGAGAGAGAAGATGCTGTCAATAATATTAGACTAGAAATACACATACTAGATGTAAATTCAAAAGTCTGTATTAGAAAGCTATCAAATTAGCCAAAGAACAAGCAGTTTACATCATTCCTAACATTTCACTTATCTAAGACAAATACCATGACCGCTGCTTACCAGAAGTTGTCAAGTGCTTTAATCCCATAATCATAGTAGCTGTTGAACTCTCAGCTGTGCTCCTCTCTAATCACATTGTTCTATATCATCCTAATTCTGAAAATATATCACTTCTTTCTTTCTTTTGGAAAACAAAACAAAACACTACAAACTGATAGTACTGCCTCCACTGTCTTTACTACTATACTTGCAGTTGGTAGGTATCTGACTGCAAGGGAAGTTTCTGAAACTTAAGGCAAAACATTTTGGTTTTCATGACTGTAAGTAGTTTGAAATACTTCTCTTAACAGAAACAATATGCCTATTCATGTGCATGTTGGCTAAATTTTCTTTATTTAAGTGCCAACATTGTTTGACAGCCAATCACTCTCATGTAAAGGGAGATATATCTATTACTTGCTAATATACTGCCCCCAACATAAGCTACAGCCATACAATGTGACAGCTGTTTCTATCACAGCTTGGTAGTGTGATGTGACTAGAACGTTTTTGTCAGAAGTGTAAGCTAATTTGTAGTTTTCTTCACAAGAAGAGGAAGAAAAGGTTCCTTATTCCTAAAACCATGACCTTAACCTGCATTCAGATGCTCTTAAATGCTGAAACATCAAATTGCATCCTGCCTTTTATGAAACCATAGGAAGTTTCAAATGCCTTCCATTCAATTGCAAACAACAGAAGGATGAAAGCAATTTAGGAAATTAATTTCAGTGTAAACTATGACCTGAAATTTCACACACACACAAAAATCTTCACTACTTACAGATTCTATGGCTTTCCCTAAGAAAACGGCAATAGTGAATGTTGTACTAATGAGATGTATCTTATAATATTACAATAAAAGTGTGATTTGGAATGGACCAGAGAAACTACAATGCTTAAATTCAGTATTGTTTTACTGAGCAAGTCACAATTCTCCTATTAGTTTTTGTTGCTACTGAAAACTTGTGTTGATATGTTTCCATAGGTAGTGCATCTCATTATTATTCACAAAGTTAAAGTATACAGTGCTAAGAATTCAAAGTTGAACATAGCTAAAGAAAAAATGCATGACTAAGATTGTTACAGCAATATTCAAGTCTGTTATGTTACAAACAGTAATTAAAGTTATTTAGGACAATGTAATGGATTAAATATTATAACCTCAATTTCGTATTACCTGTCTTTTCATTGTTCAGATTTGCACTTTAAATGTTATGTTATCATAACTGTTTCTGCTACTGTTCTTGTCTCTACATATACAAAAAAGGAAGGATTAGATTGCCATCATCTGGAGTTGCATATGTTCGTTTAGTTTTTTTCAAAACTCCATAATTTAAACAGCAGCCCTTTATAGATATGAAAGAAAAATAGAAATAGCATAATTGAAATGCACAAATTTGCAATGCTGTAGAAAATTCTTCTTCTATAAATAACATTTTCTGCTTACCTTATATATGCCAAAGAAAATGTGTAATCCAGTATGTTATATTATATATTTTTCCAAGCATGTCTACCAAGAACAGAACTGTTAAAAAATTTGCCATTTTAGAGTTGCCTTGATTTCAAAAAGTCCTAATTTCCTTGCTTAAATGAAAAAAAATATGTATTCTGCTCATGGGAGACACAATTTTGGAAACAAGAATAGGTGCTATTCGGTAGACAGATAAATAAATAGAATTCAAGAGGAGAGCATGCAAACTTGTACTCGGTAACAAATATGCTTAAACTGAATGCATCCGAAATACTTCTCCAAGTTGCCAAAGTCATGGCAAAAAGCATTTGCAAAACTCTTAAGTATGTCATAAACAACATAACCCAAGAAAGTTACAGTTAAATATGGAAATTTATTCTTCCATAGGCATCTGCTTTCTTTTACTAAACCAGAAGTTTTGCCATGTCAGTGACACCTTTCAAAACTTAACAATGAGTTTTTACAGGAAAATATGGGTCACATTAGGAGTAAATGCATGCATACGATGCATTTCCAGGTTTGAACCTAGTTATATTTTCTATGACAGGCTGCGATACCCTATAGCTAGAGTTTTGTTACACCAATGTTCTGGAGAACTAGAAAACAACAAAGAGCAAAAAAGGGACAAAGACAATTTTACAGATCAAGAATCTCCCATGTATCAAGGACAAACTTCAAAATTATTCAACATGTACAGATGGAAGTCCTCTAAGTTGTCAATACAGAAATCTTTCTGAAAGTGTCATCAGAATCTTTTCAACCAAATAGTAAGTATCTCTCTGGCAGCTATTCACAGAAAGGTATTTGCTGGACAGTTGAAACTTCTTCATACACTAAATAGTTTTTAAAATATTTCTGAATAGTTTCTTTGTAATATGTATGTTCTATAAGAAGTTTGGTGTATTTATTATTTATTTTTTCACTTCCCTTTTACAGCATTGGGTTGTTTTTAAACAGTCACAGGTTATCTTGCTCAACTCTTCTAGATATTTAACATTAAGCTTTGAAAAGCACACTTGGAAAAAAAAAATCACCCAAAAAAAGATAATTTGTGAAAGAAAAATTAAAATCACTGGAAACTGAAATGCAATCTTAACTGTATAAACAATAACAAAAAAATGATACTAAGATTTGTCCATACAATAGTCATAAATTGTAAAGCTAACCAGAAGGAACAAATTTCAATATAAACATAATTCATCTTACTTGGATTTTGCCTCTTGCAACAACGAAGGGTCATCTGTAGCCAAATAGACTCTTTTTTTGTCAACATGCATTCTGCGAGAAAGAAGTTCAAATCGCTCTTCAACGTGTACCATATATTCTTCAATAGGATGAAATGCTGCCTCTGTTCCTACTTTGTCTGTTCTTCGGACGTGAACACTGGAAAAAGGCAGAAACTAGGAATTAAATTTATAAATACAATATATACTTTAGCAACTGAAAGTTTAACTTTACATTTCATGCCAGTGCTTTTAGAATGCACATTAAATTGAATCCCTACATAAAACAAGGAGGGATTTAAACTCATTGATGTCCATCGAGACACACTTGACAACATGAATGTGATCATTCTGTTCTTGAAAGTAATATACTAATCTTGCTTGGAAGACAAAGGGTAACTGAAAAAAAGAGAATTAAGAAGGTTTACTTATAACATACAAGGTATCCATTTTGTGCAAAGCGCTAAGCTCTCCCATGTAGTTAGATAATGACTGATGTATACAGTTCCAAAAGCAAAATAGAAATATTTGCACCATGGGTATATTGGAACATCAACTACAATGCAGGGTTTGAATGAAGGTAGTTAAAAATGCATCTTCCTCATCTGCTTAAAACCTAACAAGTCCACAGATCCACCAGTGAAGCAGCCTACTGACAATGATCAAAAGCCAGCTATCATTTGGACAGAACTATTGCATATTTCTACAAAAAGAAAGATTAAGGATTGAAGGAAAATTCTGGCAAAGGAAGCAGTATTTGCAGACTCTAGTACAGCAGCAGCAAAATTTTTCATGTTACATGACAGTAAAACCTTTCTTCCACAAGCTGCTCCTTTTTGCCCATAGGTATTTTCCTTCCTTCTTCCCATGTCTCCCCACAAAGACCTTTCCAATTCATAGCTACTGCTAAGAAACAGTAGTGAAAACATCAGC